CCCAGGGCCGCAGGGCTGGAGGCGCCTCGTCGCTGTAGTGTGCCAGTGCCGCCAGCAGGGGGCAGCCGCGACCCGATTTGGACTTCCCGTTGCCAGGCGCCCGCGGGCCAAGGGTTCAGAACCTGCAATCCCAGCTTAATGGGAACTCTCCAGATATTTAAGAGCGGGCATTTAGTTTACTCTGTAGGAGTGTGCATGTGTGCTTTACGGATTGAGCCAAGGGCCTTCCCACTAAGCTACATCTCCAGCTTTTTTTTTTTTTTAACTTTGAGACTGGATCTGGCTCAACTGCCCAGACTAGGCTCAAGTTTGTGATCCTCCTGCCTCAGCCTCCCTGAATGCTGACATTACAAGCCTGCTCCACCACACCCAGCTTAATTTACACTTTTATGAAAGACTCTGAGCTAAAAATGGATCTGCAGAACAGATGTACCCCAAGACACCGCAGTGGGTAACTCCGCTGAACTTGAACCGGAAAATGAGATGCCAGGGCTAAGTCCTCATTCTTGGGTCCTCGGTTTGCCTGAGGTCCCGGAGACACAGGGGTCTCCCTGACTTCTGGGCCCCCTCACAGTCTTTCTGCCCGGGTCCGGTTGTGAGGGACCCGATTCCCTGGCTGGGCGGGCCTGCAAGGGGAGGCCCACGGGGCGGGAGGTCGCCAGGGCCCAAGGGCAGGGGGGGCAGGGTTATTTTTAGCCGCCCCCCCCCCGCGCTCCTCGAAGCCTTATTTAGACATCAGGCGGCAGGGCGAGCTGGAGGAGGGAGGCCGCGGCTCTTCTAACAACTGCTGCCCTGCCGCCGGCACCTCTCCGGGCAGCCGCTCTAAATAGCAGCCGGCTGGCCTGGCTCCGTCCCGCTCCTCAGGCTGCGTTCTTGGGGCCTGGCGCTGTGGGATCTAGGCTGGCCTCAGAGCCGGCCCCCTGAGCAGATGCCCCTCAAAGCCTGGCTGCCTCCCGTCCTGAAGAGCGCATTTTCCTGAGCAGACTGTGGTCTTCACCCGCGGCTGAGCCATCCTGCTTGTCACCCAGTCTTCGCTGGGGCTCACTCCATGCCCAGCACGACAGTGTGGGGCGGGGGACACAACCCAAGAATTAAGTAGCGACCACGGATCCCGCGAACACCTGTTTTATTGAGACGGTCTCAGCATGCAGTTCAGGCTGCTGTTGAGCTCACTGTGTAACCCAAGCTGGCCTCAAACTTGGGGTGGTCTTCCCGCCTCAGTCTCCCAAGTGCTGAGGTGACAGTTGTGCACCACCACACCTAGCCCTAAAAAGGCTATTTTAAAAGAAAAATCATTGAGATATAATCAATATGCAAAACTGCACTTCAGTTAATGTACACAATTTGATAAATGTCACATGCCTGCACCCAGAGACCATCGTCACAACCGAGGCAACAGGCACATTCATCCCCTGTAAGCTGCCTTGTGCCTCTTTGTTCTGTTTTTGCTGTTTATGTTGATTATGTTTGTTATAGTAAGAACAATGAACTAGAGATCTTCCCTCTTAGTAAGATTTTAAGTGCATAATTAGCTATGAATAACCATAGGCTCTTGAACTTGTTCATCCTGTATAACAGAAACCTTATGCCCACCCAGAAGCAAATCCTCCCTTCCCCTTCCCAGTAATACATTCCATTTTCCACTTCTGTGAGCTTGACTTTGTTTCCCTTTACTGGGGATGGAACCCAGGACTTTCACACTAAGCCACAATCCTAGCCTTTTTTTTTTTTTTAAGTTTTTTATTTCAATAGAGGGATTCACCAAGTCACTAAGTTATCCAGGCTCCAACTTGAGATCCTCCTGCCTCAGCCTTCCAGAGTCCCGGGGTTACAGGAGTGTGTCACCACCCCTCATATAGTCACAACTGGTTTGTTTCACTCAGCATAATGTCCTCCAGGTTTACTGATGTTGTGGCAAATGGCAGGATTTCCTCTCTTTTTTAGAGCTTTATAATATTCTACTGTGTGATGTATACACAGCATTTTATCTTCATTCATCTGTCAACAGACATTTAGGTTGTTTTCATCTCTTTGCTATTATGAATGGTACTTTGCTGAACCTGCGAAAGCAACTATCTCAGTTGTCTCACAAAATACCCAGCAGAACTGCTGGTTCGTGGAGAAATTCTACTTTTAGGGCCAGGGATTCAGCTCAGTGGTTCCACCACCTGCCTCACAAGTGCAAGGTCCCGAGTTCCATCCGGGTACAAAAACAAAGAAAGAAATGCTGCTTTTAAATTTGTGGAGCCTGAAGAATGACACGCTCCCGAATCCCAGCCTGGCTCCCTGGAGGAAGAGCCCCGGCCTCTGATAAAGGGTGGTGGCGGTGGTGACTCCTCCTGTCCCAGTCACGTGGGCCTGTGTGTCCATCCCCTTGGGGTCCCCCCCGCCGCAGACCCGTCAACACTGCTGACCGGCGTCGCCCCTGCTTGCACACCTTCCACAAGGGGCACTCACTCCCTGCCAAGCTGGGCCCTGGCTGGCCAGGAAGTTCCCCATCCTCTGGAGCAGCAGGACCCCAACTCCTCCTTCTGCAGGCAGCCTGAACCCCATCCTCATCCTGGAACAGGAAGCAAGAGGGGCAACTGCTGCCTTGGAGACCAGATGTCCCGCCCCCTTCCAGGCTGAGCTTGGGGGTTCCCCCAGCGACCCCAGCTCCCAGGGTCCCACAGATCTCTCAGCTGCTGCTTTAAGAAGCTCCACGGGGCCTGGTCCCTGCTACTGTCCCTGGATCCAGTCCAGGGCCCTGATTTAAAAGTATTGCAATGTTTTTGAAAAACAAACATGTGTTGTAACCCGAAGCCCTGGTAACCACAGCTCTGCTGTCTGCTCAGGCTGACCGTGGAGGAAACCGCTCCCACCTACCCACAGCACTGCCTGTGAGCCGTAGTCACTGTATTACACCGGCCCGCGGCGCCACCAGGCAGCTCAGCTGTGCAGCGGCCACCTTCCCGGGACATTGACCCTGGGCTGCAGCGTCTGATCGCTGCATCGTGCTCCCTGCACAATAAAGTCACAAAGACCTGGTGTCCAGGCCCCGCAGGCCCAACTATCCGCATCCTCCTCCCTGCCCCCGCTGCTCACCCAGCACTCCAGCCACAGGGTGCACCGGCCCCAGGATGTCTCAGCCCTGGCCGGGAGAAGCTCTTCCCACACTGTCCACAAGAGCCCCTGCTTGATCTGCAGAGCCCAGCCAGATGTCACCTCAGTGAGGCCACCTGACCCTGACCCTCACTGCCCGGCAGGGCCAGCCCTGCTTCTGTGGTGTTTACCCTGCGACCCAAGGCACAGCTACGGGGGCAGATGTGACTCAGCAGCCTCCAAATGACGTGTTTAACTTGCATGGTGATTGTGTGTGCAAAAGAAAGGAGAAAGGGAGAAAGCGCTATCTTGCATGTATAAGGATCTCCAGCGGGGTGTGATCCTGGTATTGAGGAGGCTGAAGCAGGAGGATCACAGTGAGTTTGAGGCCAGCCTGGGCCACAGAATGAGTTCAAAGCCAATCTGAATCACATACTGAGACCCTGCCTCCAAAACAAAACAAACAGAGCTTTCCTACTCCATTTGAAAAACTGGAGGATCAGGGCAGCGCAGACACACATTTCTCCCACACCACACAGCACCCAGGCTCCACCCATCCGAGGTGGGCAGTGACACCCGCGTGTGCCACCCTGCACCAGGCCGGCCCTCTTCCCGTTTACAGACGGCCCCACCTGGCAGGCGTTTGGGTGTCAAGCTGCAGACCCAGCCCACGTGCCGTGTGTCCTGGGCTCCCCCGTTTAGGAATATTTGTGCCTCCTCGTCCCTAGAAACCCCTCAGATGTCCCAGGAAGCCCAACATGTTGGCAAAGAGCCATGGTGAGCTCAGTCGTGCGTTCCCTTCCTCACTCCCAGACGCAGCCGGCCTCGTCCTCCACACTCCTCCCCTGCTCTCCCTCCCCACAGTTACGAAGGATGGGCGAGGTGCCTGCAGGCCGGGGAAGGGCGGTTCTCTCAGACGCGAGGGTGAGCTCCTCATTTTGCAAATCAAAGAATGAGGTGGAGCCAGGCACAGTGTGCAGTGGCGCACACCTGTGATCCTAGCCCCTTGGAGGCTGAGGCAGGAAGACCACAAGTTCCAGCCCACTCTGAGCATCTTAGAGACATAATGAGACTCTGCCTCAAAATGAAAACTAAGAAGGGCTGGGGTGTAATGGTGGTGGACGGCTCTGGGTCTCAACTCCAGCACCACGGCAGGGGAAGAAAGGAGGTGCAAGAGCTAGGACTCCCGCTGCCCAAGGACAGAGTTCTGCTGTTTGGAACTGAACGGAACCAAGGGGCAGTGCTGGGTCCTCTGAGAAGACTTGGAGGAGGCAGGAGGGAGGGCCCAGCTGAGGCGCAGCCCGTGGCACTGCAAGCTGCTCCTCAGAGAATGAAATGCACGCAGCTCCAGCACAGAGGCGCAGGGAGGGCCCTGGCCTGCTGCCGGCCCAGGGGCGGGATGGCTCCCAGCCAGGGAACTGTCCCCACCTCGTCCCCGGGGTGGGGGCCCCAGCCAAGCACCTCTGGGACTCCCCACTGCCCAGGACCAACTGTCCCTCCCTTCTGTGCCCCTCTGAGGGCTGGAGAGGCCTGTGAGACACAGCGGCACACCTGGGCATCGTGGGCAGATGCCAGGCACACACCTGGTTCCCAAAGCTGCAAGGTGTTTGGGGCCGAGAGCGGGCCTTCAGGAGGCTTCCCAAGAGTTACTGACCTGTGCATTGCTGGCCCACACTCTGACCCCGACACAGCCCTGTCCACGGCAGCTCCTTTAGAGCAGCTGCCAGGCCCTGGGCTGCTTGGGGAGCAGGCTCTAGGTTTCTCCCGGGGGGGCTTCCTGGGGGCCCTATTGTGCCCGCCCACCCTGCAGAGCCCAACTCGGGATCTGTGGGGGCTCCAGCTAAGCTGTGGGGACAGAGAAAGTTCAGTGGGGTGGTTGACATGATCAACAACTCTCAGAAGAGAAAATAGGGAGGCCATGGGACATGGCAAAACTGTAATCCCACCACTCAGGAGGCTGAGGCAGGAGGATCACTGGGAGTTCTAGGCCAGCCTGGGATGCATAGTGAGGCTCTGTTTCAAAAAAAAAGAAAAGAAAAAGGAAAAAAGAAAGAAAGAAATTAGGCAGTGAATTTGGCCACTTCTCCCACAGGAATCCCACATCCCAAAGCACAGCTCTCCTGGGAAAATTGACAGGCGGGAAGCTTCTTGCTAATCACCCTGACTTGGACTGAACCCTCCTTTCCCAGGCTCCCCTGCATTCAGCTCCAGGGCTCAGTCTGATCCCCTGGCGATGGGTTCCCTGGTGGGATTTCACTGTGAAGATCCCCAGGTCCCCAGGTCTCAGTGGGGAGGTCGGAGGCCAGGCCACTGCACTTTGGCCTGCAGGCCCTGTTCCTGCCCTGCCCCTGAGGGAGGCTCTCCCATCGGATTTGCCTGCACTTCCTTCCTGTGAGGAAGCCGTGGAACCACCTTTCCGTGGAAGGGCGGGACACCCAGGAGCCTCTCTTAGCAGGGCCGTGTTTCCCACGTCCCTAATTCTAATCAAACCCAATAGGACAACCCTTGGCGGCGGGCCTATGTGCTCTCTGCTAGGGACAGGGGCTGAAGCCGCTCTGCTGTCTACACCTCCTGCGACCCGGCTTGGAAGTCGTTGATCAGGAGGGGCAGGAGGCTGGGGAAGCTCTCCAGAGACCAAGGCTTCCTACTCAAAATGAACAGGAGAGGAAAGAGCCATAAAAGGGGATCCTCTCCTAGGAGAGGTTTCCTGGGGCCCCTGGGGATCACCAGCTACCCCTAAATGAGGACGAGGCCAGAGAAACCTCAGCGTTCTGTCACACAGGAAGAGAGGACAGCGGTGCAGGAAGGGACCTGCGGTCTCCTGAGAGCGGGTGGGCGGGATGGTGGGGACGGAGGAACAGGCCCCTGGCTCTCCGTCCACGTCCAGCAGGGAGGACAGAGCACATAAACAGGCCTGCCTCCGGGGAAGCTGCCGTCTGTGCTGGGGAGACTTTCTGGCAGAGAGCACTAAGCTGCTCTTGGACAGACAAGGAGACTCGTAACCCCCAGAAATGGACTGGGAAGAAAATCACTCTGGGCTGAGGACGCGTTTGGGGAACCACTTCGCGCAATCAGAAGGATTCGCGGAGAAGAAAGCCTCCCTGGAGATGTGCACAAGGCCCCGTGGCATGGGTTGTCCGGGTCCCTGAGCTGCCCAGTGCCTGTGTCAGACTTGTTCGGTCTGAGCAGAGCGTCCGTGTTTCCTGGAAGGTGCCCAGGATACACCCTACACCCTTCCTTCCCATCTTTCCCCTAGGAACCTAGCCCCTCAGGGCCGGTCCTTTACACAAGCTAACACAGCACAGGGCGCTCCCGGCCATCTCCCGGCCTGCACACACTCTCCTGCCCCGACTCTGCCCTCCCTGTGGTAATTAGGTCTGCTTCCCCTCCTCCCCCTGGACACAGGAAGGTAGAACGTGGTTTCCCACTGCTGTGAAGGCTGAGCACGGGCTGCCCAGTCCCCTAAAGGGAAATCACTCGAAGAGGGTTGTGTTACCCAGTGTTCTGAGTTGCAAACAACAGGAGCGGCGTCACACTCCATCCCAGCCAAGATTCGTCACCCTCTGGCCCAGTGCTCCTCGAGGAAGGCCTCCTTGACCCTCCCCATCCGTCCTGGCCCCTTTGTACCTTTTGCACAGCCTTAGCCTCGTAACTTGCTTTGCATGGTTTCCTTTTTCTTTTTCTTATGCGTAAGTCTGATGTCACAAACATGGATGATAACCAAGTCAAGGACAAGGACTGATTTTTGGCTTGTACCTTCTCTGTGCCTCACCCACACCAGGGGCAACCGTCACAGTGTGCTTGGGACTTGGGACTCTCAGTGCTAGAAATGAGGAAACCCCGACACACCAGGATGAGTTAGTCACCCCGTTGCCCAAGGAGTGGGCACATAGTAGTTAGGACCTGACTGCTGATTGCTGATGACCGAAGGTGTGGCTGCTGTTTACCAATAAGTCTGATTCTCTCGCCTTCCTTCCAGATGGACCTTGTATTGCTCCACTCTCTTGAAGTTGGCCATGACTGCGACTCACTTTGACTGCAGCTCGCTTTGGCCCACGAAATGTGTGTGGACTGAACGTGTGTTGCTTCTGAGTAGGAGCGTTGAAGACCCCACCCGACGTCCCCTGCATGACCCCAGTAAACAGGAAGGGACCCTGCTGAGGCAGACACACGACGGGATGGTGACTGTCACTCCCTGCCCTGCCGGACCTGTGGTGTGAGCGACAGCCTGGCTTCTCTCATGTTAAGTCCTTGAGATTTTTAGGGTTTTTGTTACTGCAGCAAAACCTCACCTAACCTGGCTTGCACAGTGACCATCAAGAGTCTCCACTGGCAACTTTCTCAAACAAAAACAAGAAAACCCTTGGGTTTAACTCAGCCAGAAACATCCAAGGATGTATAACAGGCAGCAGTGGAAGGGTGGGAAGCTGGAACCTGCTTCCCAGGAGACTCGGAGAGGCTGGAAGCAAGAGCTCCCGAGATGTGAGGATCCAGAGCAGAACTTGCCACCCCGTTGCTGCCAACCAGGGCAAGTCAATTGATTTCATGGTTGGCATTAAAATTTGAGATCCATTTTAGAACATTCAGCTCTTCAGAGTGGGAAAATGACAGAAACAACTGGCCGAGGCTCACAACACTGCCCATGACTCCCTCCTGCAGCTTGCTGCCCCACCATCTGTGGGCTTTGCATGGCTCTCCCTCCTCATAGATCTATCTAAATCCCCAGCCCCATCTCTCTTCTACTTTGCTCTCTTTCTCAACAGCCATCCTCCATTTCTTTGAGACTTACTCATAGTTTGGTGGTGAGCAACTAATCACAACTTCAGGCATGGTTTCATTTTGAGGTTTTGCTATTTTTTGAGACAGGGTCTTGCTGTGTAGTTTAGCCTGGTCTTGAACTCACCACGTAGCCCAGGCTGACCTCAAACTCACTGCAATCCTCTTGCCTCGGCCTCCTGAGTGAGTACTGGGATTATAGGCGTGCACTGCCACACCCATCTCCATGTATGGTTTTGAAGCATACTTAGTGGTAGGGACATAAACTAGTGCAACCACTGTGGAAATCAGCCCTCGCAGAGCTTCCTCAGAAAACTAACAACAGAAGGTCCATTTGACCCAGACATTCCCCTTGCAGTCGCCCTCCCCCCGAAGTCCAAGTCGCCCCATTACGGGGAGGCATGCATACCCATGTTCAGAGCGGCACAATTTTCAATAGCGAGGTCTTGGGGTCAGTGTACGTGTCCTTCCACAGGCGAGTGGATGAGGAGAACGTGGCACTGATACACGGTGGGTGCAGCCGTACGCTGCCATAAAGAAGATAAACGTGAGGCGTTCCCAGGCAAACGAACGCAATTGGAGGGTGCAATGGGTTTCTGGTTTTGTTTTTCTACTTAATGTAATGTTGAGTGAAAGCCCTCAGATACACAAGCTCAAATAGTGTGTGGTTTCTCTTGTATAAGAAAAAATACATACATATGTATTTTACATATAAATACATATCTATACATGCAAAATATATATATATGTAAAATATATATGTGTGTGTGTGTGTGTGTGTATATATATATATATATATAGAGAGAGAGAGAGAGAGAGAGAGAGAGAGAGAGTAAAACAGAACAGAGATAGGAGGGCTGGGGATTTAGCTCAGTGGTTCCACCACCTGCTTCGAAAGCACAAGGACCCAAGTCTGATCCCCAGTACAAAAATATGTGCAAAATAGAAGAGAGATAAATAGGAGGTAGGGTGTGATGGATTAACTGTTGTTCAGTTTGGAATGTCCAGCTGAACTGAGTTAGTGTGGTCGGCGTGGAAGAACCACCTGAGGGTTGTTGTCAACAGGCCATAAAAAGAGAACTGGAGGGGAAAATCAGGGGCTGCTGTTTTTCCAGGAGCTTGCTGTGCTTGATTTTCCTGATTTGACTTGGCTGAAGCTCAGGCCCTCACTGTCACTGTCTCGGAAGCTCTAATCCTCACTGTGATCATCTCTTCCTGGCTCCAGTGCAGAACCCTCAGCCTCCTGGTACGGATCCTTCACCCAACTGGCGTAGATTTTCTGTCTTCCACCGCTGGCCTTGGGGCCTTCCAGGTGCAGGTCCTCAATACGGACAAGCATGGGACATTGCCATGGGCTCCAGGCCTCTGGCTGGACTCGAGGAGGACATCGCCTGGACTTGAGGCCTTCACCTGGGCTGTGCGGGACACTACTGTGGGGTCCAGGCTCTCGGCTGGATTCTTTGGGCCTCTAGTTCATGGCTAATCTCGGGCACTCCTCTGCAATTGACTTTTTAGGTAAATATCATAAAATAATCCTTTAAAATACGTGTCCCGTATTAAATGTATTCCCTTGCCAAAACCCTGACTACAACATAGGGAGAAGTTAAAATACTTTCCTCAACTACAAATTCCATTATTTAAAAAAATATTTCAATATATTTGCTAATCGGTTTCATTTATGCTATCAGTTTCTTAGTTTGTTGAAAAGAAAGTTCTGTGTATTATCTGTTTCTTTTTTGTAAAAATCTTTTTGGTTTATATCTTGTACTCTGAGTAGCAACTTTGAAGATAATGATACACAGTGTAATAACTGTTATTCTCCTATTTGGTAATGAAATTTTATTTTTCTTAGAAATAAACCATACTTTAAAAACCCCTTTCTGTTTTAATAGTTTCTTATTATAAGAATACTAAATGCATGCTCTTTCTAAATATAAGAGAATAAAGAACATCTTTACAAATCCAAAATGTAATCAGGGTAACCATCACTACTAACACTTTTTTTGGCATCCTAGTATTGAAAATCTAACCCAGGGGTTCTCTACCACTGAGCTACAAGTTCAGTCCCACTTTTCTTGAGAGGGTCTCACCAAGTGCCTGGGCTGGCCTCAAACTTGCGACCCTCCTGTCTCTGTCTGAGTGCTAGAATTAGGGGGTGCACTACCACACCCTGCTCTGATACTCTCTCTGACAGTAAAAATAAATGTTACATTTTTTCAACATTTAAAAGAATCCATCTTCAGCCGGATGAGTTCGGGACAGCTTGAACTACATAGTGAGATCCTGTTTAAAAAAAAAAAAAAAAAAAAACAAACCCATATCCTCAGGATTTTTAGGGTGCACGCCCTCCCCTTGCCGCTGTTTTGACCCAGAGAACTGCTTGTGAGCCTACTGCACACTGAGCTACACCCCCTCTACTTTTTGTGGCTGTATCCTAATTTATTTAACCAAGCTTCTTTCCTTGGATATTTAGGCTGCTTGGGGTTGCTTGTTTGTTTTGTTTTAAATTCCCAGCACTGCCTCAATAAGCCTAACTAAACCTCCCACGTGGCCTCTGGGCACTTCCTGCACCGCGTTTCTCCGACCTGAGCCTGAGCCAGAAGCCCCGAGAGCCTTCAAACCCCACACCCCGCCGGGAGCGGTAGGTGAGGGGTGGGGCCTGATAATTTGCCTTACTAACCGTGGCCGGGCGGGGGCTGCTGCTGCAGAGCCACGCTTTGCAAACCACCATGCCGTGCTGTTCTGAGAACCCAGGGTCGGTCACCTGTTTCCTCCGTTTGCTCTTCTAGAACCACCTGCGGTTGGTTTTACGCTGGGTGGAAGGCGAAGGTCTTGCGAGACCGTGTATTCTTTCCCGTCCTGGACTCTTAAATCCCTCTCATCATTACATCTGTCAGGAGTTTGGTCGCCTGACTCCAGTTCTCTAAAGTACGCAGAGACGTGCAGGCACACGGACTTTTTAGAACTAGTACACCACCCCCACTGCCACTCCCAGAACCGCAGCCAGGGGCAAGACGACGGTCCGTAGGAGTTCCTTTCTGGGCGAGGACTGACCTCAGCTTGTGTTTGCGGGGAACAGGCTCAAAGCTGAGGTTCGGGGAAGTTCTCTCTGGGCCGGGAGCTCACTGGCCTTGTCGTGTTAGACAGATCACTTTACAAAATCCTACCTCAGTGGCAAGGACCCAGCGAGAGCTAGGACTAGGATGAGCAGCCGGGCAGAGCCGCCTCGGTGAGCGGAGGGGCCGTGCTCCCCGCAGGTCCCCGCCCGGCCCCAGGCACCTCGACTTGCAGCCTCGGGGCCACGTC